AATGGCTAAGAGAAAAATAATGTAAAACTTCTCCATTTTTGCTAATGTAACAAGAGAAAATCATTCCATTTTTTGGGAAAAATTCATTCGGGCATAAAAAAAGCCCAAAAACAAACAACCTTAATTTTTAATCCACGTCAATTCAACTTCAATCAAACACAAATTCAAGCTCAATCTAACATAATTAGTAATTAAGCACCAATAATTACCTTTTTTTTTTTAATTTTTGTTGAACCTTGAATGGGTCTAAGAGCTAACTTAGGCGATGAGTGCTCCTGTCCATCATCCAATTTTTGTGGTTGTATGGATGGGTAGGATGAACTTTGAATCGAATCATTGGTTGGGCCAAAAAGGCAAAAGAAAAAGGACTACAGGCTACTTCATGAGAGTAAGAGGGTGATTTTTGGACTTTAGGAAGTTGAGTTTGTGAGTTGAGAGAGAGGAGGCAGAGAACTGAGTTTGAGAAAGATGAGATGTGGAAGACAAATGAAAGTGTGAAAGAGAAGAAAAGAGAAGAATATGGTCAAGACTTGAGACTAGGAAAGGCATAAAGAGACTAAGGGTCTGTGGGCTATTTGACCAACAGAGACACGTATAAAGCAGGGAAATGCTTCATTATTATGCAATTTTTTTTAATTTAGAGAATAAATTATTAATTGAAGAAAATTTTAAAAATTTTACCAGGAAAAAAATTACGAGTAAAACTTAAAATTACAAATTTAAAAATTAGTATATCATAAATAGAGAAATTTTAGAGGAAAAAATTTGATGAAAATTGAAGGGATAAAATTTTTGTATAAGTTATATGAAAAATAATTAAAGTTAAATGATTATTTATTGATTTTATTGGTTATTAATTTATGATTTTGTATTTGAATTTTAGTTTTTTTTTTGTTATGGCATTTATATTGTTTTTAATTTTTTTAGTATATTAGAATTGTTCTTATTATTATCTTTTTACAATTAAATAACAATTGAAAATGCCTTTCAATATATAATAATTTAAAAGTAATTTATAATAAAATTTTAAATCAATTAATGTGCCTAAAAATTAAATTATTTAATAGATTGAACATTTTAAAATCTACTACTCTTAAAATTAAAAACTACTCTAAGTAAAAATTAAAAACTACTTTTATCTCAAATAAATAAAAGACATGAAATAACTCAAGAAAAAAAATCCCAATTGGGAGTGTCATATTAGAAACTGTCACCTTAAAACGTGATTAAGCTCACTATTTTAATATTAGAAACTAAAAATTTGTTAAACCATCAAATTAGTGTTCTTTTTTTTTTTTTATCTTCAATCTTTTTACAAAAAGAAATTCTTTTTTTTTAATAGCATTTCTAAACTTCTACTAATATCCACAATCCACATGTATAAAAATTTCATAACATCTCATTATAGATATGATGTAAGTTATTGCTTAAATATGTGTTAGATATTTGCCATGAAAATAAAATTTGAGTTGCCAATACATTTGATTATACAAAGCTGACAATTTCAAATTTGATTACTGTTATATACATATTATTAAATTAAAATTTTAAACAATTTATATTTTATCAAAATAAAAAAAAAATTATGGCTCGAGCATAACTAGGCAAATTTTCTAGTATATTTAATTTAACATAAACATAATAAAATTTTTTAATACATTCAAAATATTATAAAATATTAAAAGTTTTAAAAATTTTAAATATAATATTTAATATATTGTAATTATTGTTTTTATTACTAACTTTTCATATTATGTTAAGAGTATTGCGATTTTTTTTAATTATTTGATCGATTGTATGATCTTTTAAATTTATTGTATATTAAAAAAATTTTAAAAGCCAAAAAAAGTAGAAAATTTTTAATTTTTAATAAAAAGTAAACTTTTGATTTTTAATTTATTTTTATATTTCTATTTATTATTATTACTATATATTTTTTAGATTTTATTTTTATTATAAATAATAAATGAAAACTTTTTTTTTATCAATTGGATATTCAATTGGGAATTATCCTTATTTATGGACAAATTTAATTATATTTATTATTATTATTTGTGATAACTAACTCATTGATGATTATTGATTTGTTTTTTAAAAAAATATTGATTGTTAATGTCGTTAATGAATGTTTCAACTCGAAAACCCCCAACAAGTAAGGTACAAGTAGATCAAATATAAATAAATAAATGTATATTCATAATTTATTTATTTATTTTTAAAATTATTTGAGTTTGATTCGGATTCGTTAAAAAATTATTTTATTCATTTGAAATAGGTTCATTTAAATAATAAAATATTCGTGTTTAATTTTATTTGATTTGATTAAATTACACGTATTTATTCATAAATATATAAATAATAAATAAATTATAATTAAATAAATTTTAATAAATAAATTGTAAATGAATCCAAATAAAGATAAATGAATTCTAAAATAAGATTAAAAGATAAACATATAATAATAATAAAATAATAATAAATAAATAATAAATTAATTTTAAATCGATGAATTTTAAACTGATGTTAAATGAATTTATTTATAAATATAAATAACTTAAATAAAATTTTTTATTTGATTTATTTAATAAATAAATATAAAAATATTATTTAAAATTATTTACTAAATTTAATAAATATAGATAATCAAATAAAAATCGAATAAATTTACTAACCGTTAGATTGAATGGTCTGACAATCTTACACAAGAATCATGTGATAAATGAATTAACATGTTATCGTGTGAGACTGAGATTCATCATTTCTTCGATGTACAGCCATGAGTAGTTAAGCCTCGCACTGCAGTTTGCTTTTGTTTTTCCATCTTAAGCCTTGGTTTGAGCACCTGAACAACGAAGAACAGAGATATTTCTGCGGATGGTATTCAAGATCGATCGCATCGTAGTCAAGACCCCTAATAAGTAGAGGTATTAATTTTTCTGGCATGAATAAGAGTGGTGCCTGCGCTTGCAACAGGCTCACAGCCTAGTCGAATTTAAATTCACATATAAGAAAGTCAATGCAACTTTTCCTTTCTTGGAAAATTACGTATCACAAAAGCAGCTTATAGCATATATATTTGCAGTACTTGAAACCCATGCATTGCATTAATCTTCGGGCCAACTGCATCCAACTGATCCGGTAAACGCAAAAAGCTACCACGACAACACACTTGACCTTTCCAGTTCCACAGACCTTCATCATGGTCATCATAGATCCCACCTGCTGACCGCAATCCAACATATATACCGCTTGGAATCGCCTGTTAGCATGGCTCAATAAACCAAATTCATTAGTACTACTTTTTATCTCATAAATATTACCTTAATTTAATTTTTGATGGTCCGATATTTTAATTTTAATTTATTAATTAAAATATAAAAATATAACTTTCAAAATTAATTAATGAAAGGATTTTTAAATTTATATATATATTTAGATAAATTTAAAATATCAATGATCAAAATTAAAAAAAAATTATTGCAAAAAATCAAAAGCAGATATTGAATAATGGAAGGTATTAGAGTATGAATCTAAATTTATTAAATGTTATTTTTAATTAAAAATAATTAAACTAATTAATTGAGTTAAATTTTAATTTTTGTAAGTTATTTTTTTTATTATCATAATTCATAAGAAATCAGGGGTACTGGCAATTAAGGCTGTGGAGGAGGTTACGAGATTATTAAATTTTTTCTTTTAGGATTTCATACCTTTTAGAAAAAAGTGCATGGCTGATCAATTATTAGAAGAGGTCTTTCAAAAAAATTTTAAATAGTATGTGGTATCATTTTTAAAATTATCGTGATGATTAAATTATTATGATGATAAAATCATCAAAATAATTTGATTATCAGTAATCTTAAATTACTATATTTGATATAAAATTATAAATTATTAGTATTTTTAAATCATTGATATTATATTAAAAATAAATAGATAATACAAAATATTTAAAATAATCTTATAAAAATAGAATATTTAATACTTATTGAATTAATATTTAAAAAATAATTAAACGTTATTTTATAGAAAATTACATACTCTAACTCAATTTTAATATAAATAATTTCTAAAAAAATTATTAAATAAATTCATTAATTTTTTAATCAATATAAATTTATAACATAAAACATTTTTTAGAATAAATGATTAAAAATTTGATTTTTTTTAAATTTTAATGATCCACTTTTTGATGTAATGTTAATTATTTTTTTCATAAGAGTAAATTAGTTAAAAAATAATATTGAAAATTACATTTTTATGATGATAAAATTTTTTATCTTTGAAATTGAAAATTAAATTACTCTTCGAAATAATAATTTTATCACTCCAATAATTTAAGATTACTAATATATAAAATTTTTAAACTAATATAAAACAAAATAATATAATTATTAAGTATAAATCACTATAATTTTTAAATAAATCACTTCATACCATTTTATGAAAATAACAACTTGACAACTAGACAATTAATAGCAACCACTTGTTGAAAAAATAATACATATCAGTGGGAAAAAACAGAATGCATTTCATATATTCATTTATTAAAAAAATATAGCATATGTACACAGTTTATAGGGTTAAAAATTTCCAAAATCTTTTAAATATTATTTTTACAGAACCAACCTATCATGAGATTTTTCGTCTTGCCTATATATCTATATATTAGTTTCTTCGTACCTACGTTACGTAACTTGTGATAATTAAGTTCCATATGAATTCAAACCTAAATAAACTCTGATTGGATAGTGCGAGGAAATTCCTTGATCATTTTTATTAGTACTACTATTATGTAATTGTACTTACATTTTATTTTCGAATAAGCCACTGCTATTGCTTATGCCTCGGTTGCCTAGTACTGCACATGATGAGAACGTGACATGACAATGAAAAGGTTCACCCGACCCATTTACACTTCCATTTAAACCCTTCCCATAACCCATACCGAATCAGAGCCCTAAAAGCACATCACACTTTCTATCTCGCTGATCTTCAGGATGGATCCTCGCCCTCTACCTGAGCTTAAGCATGATTCACTTTCCAACATCATCAGCAGTTTCCTCTCAAAAATGCTATCTAACCACCTTTATCCAACCCCCGGCCTGGAGCTTCTTCCATTTTCTGCTCTTATACTTGTATTAGTGTCCTTCGAAACTTTGTTTATCTTCCAAAAATGGGAACCCATTTTCCACATCCTCTTATTATTTTGTTTCCTTCTTTTTTCTGTCCTTGGACCATTGGCCTTCAAGTCTCCTTCAGTGTATCTTGTAGACTTTTCATGTTTCAAACCACCGAGCTTTTGTAAAGTCTCTTTCTCTCATTTCATAGAGCACGCCTCTTTGATTGAATCTTTCGACAGCGAAAGTGTAGAATTCATGGCCAAAATACTCGCTTCTTCAGGACTAAGCGAAGAGACCTATCTTCCTCCAGGCTTACACTGCATTCCTCCGAAGACCCATCAACGAGAATACATTAAAGAAGCCGAAATGGTTCTCTTTCCTTTAATGGATGATCTTTTATCGAAAGCCAAACTCACTCCTTGCGATATTGATATACTCATCATAAACTGTAGTGGCTTTTGCCCCTCACCTTCTCTCTCCTCCATCATCGTTGGCAAATACTCCATGAGAAGTGATGTGAAAAGCTATAACCTTTCTGGTATGGGGTGTAGTGCAGGAGCTATTGGCATTGACTTGGCTCAAAATCTCCTCACAACCAACAAGAACTCTTATGCCATTGTTCTTAGCACTGAAATTTTGTCTGCCGGTTGGTATTCAGGTAATGAGAGGTCTATGTTGCTCCTTAACAGCCTCTTCAGGATGGGCAGCGCAGCAGTCTTGCTCACAAACAAAAAAGAAGCAATTAAATCATCGAAATACAGGCTTCTACGCACCCTGAGGACCCAAACAGCCTTTGAGGACAAAGCTTATCTGACAGCAATTCGTGAAGAGGACGATAGTGGAAAACTTGGGGTTACCATTAGCAAAGGTCTACTACAAGCTGCAGGAGAAATTCTCAGGTCACACATAACAATTCTTGGTTCGCAGATCGTTCCTTTCTCCGAAAAACTCAAGCATGTTGTCTCCATCATTGGAAAGAAATTTATTGATAAATCAGGGGAAATTTACATACCAAGCTTTAAGACTGCGATACAACATTTTTGTTTGCCAACTTCTGGAAGGGCGCTAATAAGAGAGATAGCCAAAGGGCTAAAGCTTGATGAGAGAGATATTGAAGCTTCTTTAATGACATTGCATAGGTTCGGGAACCAGTCTTCTTCTTCAATGTGGTACGAGTTAGCTTACATGGAGGCCAAGGAACGTGTAAAGAAAGGCGACAGGGTTTTGCTTCTTGGTATGGGTACTGGACCTAAGTGTAACAGCTTGATTTGGGAGTCTGTGAGGCCCATGGTTGGGGAGTCCAAGAATAACCCATGGACCGATTGCATCCACCTGTATCCTATTGAGGCCGTTTCTCCAAACTCTCCAGCCTGATTAATTTTCAAGATTCCGAGTTTTCTTTTTTTTTTTTTTGAAAATGTTTCATGATTCCGAGTTGATTCATGACTAATTAGTTTCAAATAAACTTTTAAATTTTAATTTGTGTCAAAATAAATTCTTAATATTTAATTTATACTTATATAAGTTATTAACATAAATTAATATTTTGTTTGAAATAAAATCTTACTTAAAACAAATCAAATATTAAAGGCTTATTTAAGTAAAACAAAAATATAAAAAATTATTTAAATAAAGTGATAAAGTTTAAATTTTGTTTTAATATTTTAGCCTTAAATATACATGTGCATCATGCATGTACGTATAAAGAGGCGAATACAAAGGGAGCAAACATGGGTCACGACCTTTCTAAAATTTTTTTTTACAGTATTGTAATTAATAACTCAGTTCACTTAATACCAATCTCAGCCCTCCCTCTTTCATTAACTTTATTGTTTGATTTCTTTTTTGTCTTATGTCTAACGTCGCTCTTGTACATATATATAATGCTTGGATATATGTATGAAATATAAATGTGTTGCATTCACTATAAGAAATTTAATAATTATGTAATGCTGTAAAATGCTGCAAAGTTTTTATCATGTTAAAAAAGTATTTGTAATAATTTTAGTATATACTTGTTACAAAAAGTCTACATCTATTGCAACATAAAACGTGTATGGTGCAAAAATTTTTTTTTTATAATAAAACATATACAAATTATTATAATTTGTCGCAAGGGAATCACTTTTCGAAATTCATTTAGACAAAAAGCCACGCGTTCCCTTCAATTAAACTAAAAATTTGATACCCAATATTTCGGTAAACTTTTTCTTTTTCTTAGCTTGGTACAAATCGAGAGTCTTAAACTTGCTACTTGATACCTTCAAAATTAAGGTTATTTTTATTTCACGAAAATGACTTTTGATAAAAATTTTTAAAAAATATTTATATTTTTTGAATTGAAATTTTTTTTTGTTATTTGAGTTTTTTTAATTTTATTTTTTAAATGATATTAATATAACTATTAAAATATTAAAAATTATTTATTATTAAAGTATATTGAAATTATTTATTATTAAAATTATTAATATTAAAAAATAATTATATTTTGATAATAATATTTAATATTAAAATATTGTCACTAAAAAAATACAAAAAATAATAAAACTATGCTTAAAAGCATTGATAGATAGTTGTAGTTATAAACAATTTTTTTCAAAAAATATAATCTTCTTTTCAAATTCATAAGACAATTTTTAGAGAAAAAGAATTTTATTTTTTGTTGATCCTTTAATTTTTTACCAAATAAATATTTAAAAATACAAAAATTATTTTTTAAAGTCATTTTTTACAAAACAAACGGAGCCTAAAATATACTTATGTTACATTTTTTTTTTGTTTTCTTAAATAATTTCATAGAAATAATTTATCACGAGTTTAAACGTGAATGATTATCTAAAATACTCTTTAGGTGGTGCTTGATTTAGGAAAATCTATAAATTTTTTTCGAGAATCTTGATGGTTGGTATTTGATTTTTACGATTAGTTCAAGAAAATCCAATTATGAAAAAAAATTAGATTCTCAACAGTACTCATAATCCTAGAATAAAAAATCCATCTTTTCTTATGGTATTTTAAGATTTCATGGAAAAAGTTGTCTTATTTTTAAATTTAACCTAAATAAAAAATGATAAAATAGTCATTATCCTTTTGAAAAGTATGTTTAAAAGTGACAAGAATTCAGTTGTAAGTTTTTGTATAAAAAATATATTTTTTATATTGTAATTAAGGTGTTTGGCATGAAAAAACGTCTTAATAATCATTTTATATTTTTACAAATATATTATTTAAGATATTTTTATATAAAAAAATACCTTAAATAATCAATTTATATTTGTATAAAAAGACTATTTAAGATGTTTTTATACAAAAAATACCTTAAATAATTTTTTTATATTTTAAGGTTTGGGGTTAATATTTTTATAAAAAGATTATTTAAGGTATTTTTTATACAGAAACATTTTAAATAATCTTTTTATAAAAATATAAATAGATTATTTAAGGTGTTTTTATACAAAAAATACTTTAAATAATCTTTTTATATTTTATGATTTAGGATTTAGGGTTAATATTTTTATAAAATGATTATTTAAAGTGTTTTTGTACAAAAAATACCTTAAATAAAATTTTTTAAATTAAAAGATAATTATTAAATGATCCATAATATAAAAATAAAAGAATTATTTAAAACGTTTTCTATACAAAAACGACTTAAATGATCATTTTATAAATAAATTAAAAAAACATTTCTAATTTTTTTCATGATATAAAAAAATGACAAATGTATTAATTGATTTTTTTTAATAATTTTTCTTATCAATTTTTGTTACTCAAAAGAGTATCAATGACTCAATTGATAATATTTTATAAATAAAAATAACAATCAAATAAAATATTTATTTATTTTTACTGTTAAAGATATTATTTGTTATTTAGATATTTATTATTAATAAAATAAAATGATGACATCATATATATTAAAAAAATTATAATAATTATATAAAAATTAATATACATGAATTTTTTTCTAATCAAATGAGTCAATTAGATACCTTAAAAACTAAACAAAATTTCAAGTATCATAATTTTTCAAAAATTATATTTTTTTTCAAAATCTAAAATTCTACGAACTAAACACCTCGTTAAAATTCTGAGGCTAATTCTTTAGCTGACCACTTCGCAAAAATGGGTGTCCGGCTGTCAGCAAACTTCAAGATCTTCTTGCTTGGTGTTGATGGTTTTTTGTCTTACTATTTTTGCTATTCTTTTTTCTTCTTTTCAGTTCTTCCTTTACTTGTGAGCTGCCTGTAATAGTCAGTCCCCTCCTTTAATGGAAACTTCCTAAAGCTCCTATCCTATGATTAGAAGCAAATGAAGATCTAGAGCAAGTCTTCCTTAATGAGCCTAAGGAAATAGAAGAAGCAAAGCTTCGAAAAAGTTCCCGCGGGCTGCGTTAAACTTTTGAGAAAAAGAGCTTGTTAATTGGAGTATTGAGATTGGTTGTCGATTTGGGATGAAATCTTGCATCTTCATTGCCTATTTTACCTAGTTGAATAGTCATGCTTAAAAGGTGTTTGCTAAAATGTGGCTAAGGAATTTTATTGTCTTATGGACATTTTCTTTTATCATCACTGACTCACTGGACATAGGGTCCAATGATGGATTTATGTGTTGGATTTATATCCTTTTGGGTTATTTTGGTAGGCTTTTCATCATAATTTTATACTTCTCTTCTATCATTTTGAGAGTTTATGGAATTGCTATAACAGCTTATGGGAAAAACGATTTTGGAGGAAGGTGGAGAGAATTTCATTAAGTGGTTACAGTATGAAAGCTTGGAAGTTGGAATTTTTTTCTTTTTCTTTGTAGTTGAGTTGGAGAGAAAGAAAATCAAAAGGTTGAGAAATAACCTCATAATGTTTAGTTGGATGGAAATTGGATTCCATTCCAGTCATTTTTTTCATATCTTTTTATTCTGTTGTTTGGTTTATTTTTTAACAAAGAATAACAATTTCATAGAACGTGAATTCCTTGATAATGAAGAACAACAATTTTTTACTCTCCCTTAAGAATTGCAATTTCTATCTCATCAAGAATTGAAAATATTATTTATTGGATAATTTTATCCTTATATATTTAATTAATTCTAATTTTACCTTTTCATATTTAATTAGTTCTAATTATTACGATTAATTAATTTTTTCTATTTTAATTAATTAAATAATAGTCATTAAATATTTAATTTGATAATTAATTAATTAACATTACTTTAACATAATTAAATGATATTTAACAATAAAATATTATTGAATTAATTTTCAATATTATTAAATATTAAATTAATATTTAACGTTAAAATATTATTAATTAATATACTATATTAAAATCTTAGTACATTAAATATTTAATATTAAAAAACAATATATATTAAATTATTATATTAATATTTAATATTAAAATATTGTTTAAAAATTAAATATTAAAATATTATCAAATATATATTAAAAATAATTTTAAATTCATAATATTTCATATTAAAATTTTATTAAAATAATATTAATATAATAAAATTTAATTATATCAATGTTCGGTATTATTTCATAATAAAAAATATTAAATTAATATTGATTACTGAATAATATTCAAGCACTATTAAAATAATATAATATATAAAATTATTTTTAAATTAATATTTAATATAAAAAGAATATTAAAATCTTATTAAAATAATATTCTATATTGGAATATTATTAAATTAAATATTTATTATGAAAAATAATATTAAAATATTATAGTAATAATAAAATATATTTAATTATTACTAAAATGCATATAATGTTAAAATATTATTAAAATAATATTAAATATTCCAATATTATTAAATTAATATTTTATATTATTAAATATTGAAATCTCATTAAATTAATATTTAATATTTAAATAATATAATATTAAAATATTATTAAACTAATATGTAATATTAAAATGTTAATAAAGTAACATTAAATAAAATACTATTAATTTAATATTTAATATTAAAATAATATTAAAATAATTGTAAATCTTATTAAACTAATATTTATTATTATTAGTTTAATAATAATTAATATTCTTCGAAATTTTTAAATATTTTTAAATAATATTCAATAATATTAAATTAACTTTAATATTGTGGAATTAATATTATTTAAATTTTAATATTTAATATGATTAATTTAATATGATTATTTAATTTTTTACAGTAAATTCTTATGAATTTTTATGAATTTTTACTAATTAATAATTTTATAATAAATTACAAAAATAAAATGATTTTTTTCTTTATTCCTTCCATATTCTTTGAACTAATCAAATATATTAATGTTGATTCCTTCTCTATTTCATTCTAATGAACCAAACTTAATAATATATACTTTATTCTATTCCTTTTTTTT